GAAATCACCTTCATTCCCTTATAAAACATGTATGTATGAAAATATTTACATACAAGCACTCTTGACTTTACCTTTGAACCTGTCAAGCTCTGCATATGACACCGTTTCTCTTGTATGAATAGCAAGCCGATATACGTATGTACATTAGGGCGCACCAATTTAAAATTTATTATAAAATTAATTTATTATTTAATTTAAGACCACCGCCAAAATATTTCAGAAAAATATTAAGATTCACTTGAGCTGGACCCTTTTCAAAATACCTTCAAAAATCTCGTTATTTTGATTCCGTTGATAAAATTAAAAAAAAACGGTATGTAGGCCAGCTAAAACTATTCTCTGATCTGAGGTAATTTTTAGAAAAACTAAATTTTGTTTATAAAAAAAACGATTTATGTAGGTATTTTCAAATGGCTCACGTAAATTTTAATATTTTTCTAAATATTTCTGCATGTGTCTTAAAATAAAATAAATTTTATAAATAATATGGAAAACGGTCCTAATTTTTTTTTGTATGAACGGTGATGCACCCTAATGTACATACACACATGCATACGGAGTCTCATGAGAGTATGTGTGCATTTTTAATTGCATATAGGCGAGCTGCTATGTGCATTGGCATATATATTCGAAAAGTGCAAGAACTGGATATATCAAGCACATACATATACATATGTACATACCTATATATAAACTGATACGTAGTATGAGCGTAAATTACAACCAGCCGCCTCTGGTCGGTCATACATTCGTGTTCCTATATACTCTACCACATACACATGTACGTACAAAGCACAGCTACATATGCATGCACATTCAGGCATATCATTTACACTGCAACTGCATTCAAGTCACAATTTCCGGGTCAAGGTACAAAGGTCAGTCGTGTATGTACAAAAAAAAAATTAAATTAGAATGAAAAGAAAACGAAGTTACATGGGTATAAAAGCAAATTTTACTCATCGGTCGCGCACAGATCAAAGCATCATTAATTTTGTAGGTCACAGCTGGTGTATCAAGTGACTTAAAGCCGTGTGGAAAAAAGTGAGCGAAAAAGTATTTGCGTACTTGCCATAGTTGAATTTGAAATAAAACATGAAAAGTGGTTGCCTTGGCAATGCTGACAATATTTCTGCTTGCGTTGCATACTTTAGGGCTTGAAGCGTGTAAGAGATGCTAGGAAAAGGCTTTTGTGCTTGCAAATTATTGAAAAATAAATTACTAAAAATTTGTGCGATGAAATAATTTAATAGGAAGTGTATACGTTAGCAAACATAGGTTGATTTTCAGCAATTAAGCGGAGAGATGGTTTTGGTCTTGAAGGCCAAAAGTATGCAGTAATTTTGTTTGTTTTAAATGGCATTAAGATGCCAGAAATTAAGTAGGTCAAACATTTTTTATGCTTCGAGTTTTTGAAATTTTGTAAATATGCAAAAAGCATATTCGTATTTTCTTAAATTTTCCAGCAAAGATACTTGGATACCGGAAAAGAGCTTATTACGTTTTTTTTTTAGATAAAATGGTATTTGTGGCATCATTGCATCAGACCTGTGGGGAATTAGGGGTGAAAGGAAGAGAAGAAGGATCACCTATACTGAGTATTCGAGTTTTTTGAATACTAGCATACATGTATTCAAGGAAATTTCTATTCTGGCAGTTAACACGCTAACGAGGAGATGCTATCATTTCATCTTAACGTCCTCAAGACAGCCGATGCATTGGGGATTTGAGTGCACTGGCCAGAAAAGGCAGCTACCAGACAATTCAGATTTTTGGACCACTTTCCATGGCTAAAACAATTTCGAGCGTTTCGAGCGACAAAATGTCTATCCAACGCTCGATAAGTAGACTCGTTTGTTGCCCATCTATCCAGACCATTTTTAGTCAATGCAGCCTCGGGGAAACCCCGTTAAGGGTGATGCTGCCTCGGCAGTTAAGGTGGCTGTTTTTTAAGCTGTTTACCAATTCTTAGGTCTTTTGTAATAAATACTTCGAGGAAAAGGGGGCATCTTATTCCCTAAAACGACTTGTAGATACTTATTACAAAAATGTAAATCGGACTTTTCAAGGAATCATTATTAAATTAGATCAGTGATTCGGCCTTGTCCATCTATTATTTGGGTCTAAGAACCACTACACTGATATGACAGCCGATCTTAAGAAGAGTGAGAACCATTCCAAACCAACCACCAAAGTTTCTCTTATACTCTCTTTTTTCGGTGAGATCACTTTAAGAGCATCCATCCCAGGGACCGTAACAGTTACAACTTTTATAAAAAACAACAGCTCTTTTATTATTTTTTGATTTTTATTTAATTACTTCTCAGATAACAGTTATTTTTGATTTTTATTTTATAAATCAAAATAACAATTATTTTCTATTTTTATCTAAATAATCTGCAGATAACAGCTATTTTTGATTTTTAAATTATATGTCTTAGATAACAATTATCGAATACTTTTATTTATAAAAATTATAAATAAAAATCAGTCAGTGACTTTTGCTTTTAAAAGTCATCAATATAAGTCATTCACTGACTTTCATTTTTTAAATCATACCTATAAAATTCATTTATATAAGTCGTAGTAAACTATTGTTCTCCAACACCTTCTTAACTGCGAAAAATTATACATGACTTTAATACGTATGACTTAAAAAATAAAAGTCTGTGACTGATTTATATTGATGAGTTTTAAAAGTAAAAGTCACTGACTGATTTTTATTGATGACTTTTATAAATAGGACATATAATATAAAAATTAAAAATAACGTTTATTTGCAGATTATTTAGATGCAAATCAAAAATAATTGTTATTTTTGGATTTATAAAATAAAAATCAAAAATAATTGTTATTTTTTTAATTTTGCACAAGAATTGTAAATAAAAATTTATTTTCAAATTGGTATGTATCACTTAGTTGTAGAACATTTCCTTCATAGTGAATTTTTCAATGACAGTTTTCATCAAAAACTGTTATGTTCGGTCTCTGGTTTATCCTAGTCTGATCGTCAGCCATGCAGTTTCTTGAAATATCACAATGTTTCGGAATCCATATTACTCTAATTAGGAAATTAACAATTTTTTTTTTTGTTTTTATCTTGATTATTCACTTCACGCATGCTTTTTCAGAAAGAACGCGGACGTTTTCATATGCGCGTGATTGAATTTAATATTTACCAATATACAGTACTTTCGTTCAGGTTTATAGTAAGATCAATTTCGTTTCTGATAGACTTTAATAGTTTTCCCCTCATTGTATACTTTATGAATAAAAAATAAGCAATGTATTTTTCTTAAAATTTCAGACCTTTTACTAAAATTTTGTTTTTTCGAATTTTCAGCAGTGGAATCGTGTTGCTCGTCTCAAAGTCTATAATATAAGTATAATAAAAAATAAATTTTTTTTCTTGGAATAAATCCGGTATATTTTGCATGTTTTTTTCGAGAAAATTATTTTGAGCATTTTTTTTTTAAGGTCAAGGAGTAATTGTGGCTTAATGGAAATATTTTTACATTAGCTTACAAAACCATCTTGTTTCATATCAAATTACTGCTTCTGTCGAAAGCGCACTGTGCAGCTTGTGAAAGGACAAGAGATGTATTTTAAAATGCTGTGCATATTTTTCAGATCTGAGCTCAGCGACGAAATCTATTAGAAATAGCCAACTTCATATAAGAAAAAATTTCAATTAGCATGCATTTGTTCAGGGCGTAGAATCAAAACATGACACTGACTGCTCAACTGTACAACCCCTCCGCTTCGTGTAAAACGTTCTTGATACCATATTATCGTAGGTTTCATAGTTTATCACAATGGTCTCAACGGAGTTGAAACAAACGGTCGAACAATTTTCGGAGCATTGTTTTACCCACTCTTGGTTGTCTTTAATATTTTTTGTTCTTTTTTTTAAAGTTTTAAAATTATGCCTTTTCTTAACTCTTTGTATCATGAACGCACTTGTTTTTGCTTTTTTTGCCAAATATCTCATAGAGATTGTTTTTTTTTTTGTGTTTTTAAAGCCAGTAAACTTCATTAAGCTTTTGGTCACCTTTACACGTTTTCTTCCATTTTTTGGTCTGTCTTTGTTGGAAGCAGTATCACCAAACTTGATAGTGACTGCCGATACGAATTTGCTTTTTTAGTGCTGTAATTGTACATTATTTTCTTGCGCACTTCCTTTTCGATTTGCGGCATCGCGAAAACTATAACATTTATTTAAAAGAACAAGGCGGCAATCGAAAAACAATATTTCTTGTTTTCTAACGGCGCCTAAAAAAATTTCATCGATCATCTACTTTTCAATTAATTTGAATTTGAAAGTGTGCAGTTTCTTATCTGTACAGTCCTTATGTGTAGAAAGTAAATAAAGTGGGTAATGGTCCTATAAATACCGCCACCCAATCTCCTCTTGTTAACTCGTCAACTAAGGATTACTGTATTGTTTGCTGCCGGGTAAATAGAGGATTAAAACAGGCTTTAATGATCGGTATGTAACTATGTAACTATGAAAGCTCTCTATAATCGCTCAGAGTGACAATTGGATATATTTATGATAATGTATTGTGGTAATGGCTTAAAAACTCCTGAAAGAGCTTTGTGGATTTCGACTGAGTTGGCAGTCCTTGACCGCATATAAATCTGGGCCCGACTACCAGTGGAGTGTTCAACTCCTCATTTCATTTGGTTGATAGAACATTTTAAATTTATATAGCCAATTTTTTCTTCAGCGTTTACTGATATGAAGTCCGGAGGCAGTATGCGTGAAGAAAAAAAAAAAAAACTTTTATCTTTGCGCCTACATCGAAAAATTATCTCGAAACTTTGCAATTTCTTGGAGCGCACCGTATTTGCTCTTTGAATCGTTTTATTGAGCTCGAGTGCTCGATTTTAAATTTTCTTATTTTCTAAAATTCTAGCATTGTGGAGCGCTAATCTTATATGTATCTAAGTATTATACGAGTATTAGTTATAATACAAAAAAATATTTTTCCACTCACCTTTTACCGTGACGCCCACCGTCTGCAGCACTTCCAGCTTCTTTTTATTCGTAGGCGATTGACCTATGCACTTATAGGTGCCCGCATCATGATAGACAACATCTTTGAGTGAAAATTGACCGGTGGGTGTGGTGAGGCCATGGCCCAGACCACGTAAGCGAGCAGTTACCGGATCTAAGTGCGACCAGCAGCCTAAGGAACCTAGAAGAGAGTGAAAAAATTTATAGAATTTAAAATGATAAGGAATCAGAAAAAAACGAATTTGTAGCGAGTGAAAGAAAGGAGTATAAGTAGCTGAGTTACTAAAAAAAAAAACACTAAACTTAATGACGTACTTTTGGAAAAAAATTAATCCAATTGGACACCAGAATTATTATTATTATTATTATTTTTACTTTTGCAGAGGCCACCGACCAGCAATACTAATTAATTTGGCGCTTAGCTCACAATATGTTTAAAATATATTTTTAATTTTTTAGCACCTAAAACCGTGTATTATATTTTCTAATTCACTTAATTTTTCAGCAATTAAAATTTTTTGCGTCTATAAATTTTTAAAATAGCCCGCTTTCAGGCGCTTGCCCCAAACTTTTTTCCATTTTCCGCAAATAACCTGCGTTAATTATATAAATTTCAATTTTCTAAGCAATTATTGCACTTTCGTTCACTTTCGTTGCTGTTGTTACTGTTATTGTTATTCTATGCAATTAAGCATGCATAATTTATTTTCCGGTATGTAAGCAAAATAATGGATTTCGCAGCAGGACAGAGTAGTGAAAGTGGAATAAAGAAATTTAATTAATAATGGGGAAATTGAAAGTGCTGTTGAGTGCAACCAGCAACGAAATTTCCTAGAATTAAGGCGCCTGTGCATATTTATTATGGATAAATTTCCAAGCATATGAAATTTTAAACATAAATCTTTAAATTTATTTTTGAAAACAAGCGAATATCAAAAGGTTTGTCACCAATAGTGACACAAAAATTAATATTTTAAAAATTAAATGTTTTTTAAACTACTAAATACTTTCATTCCGTTGCTATTTTCGTTCAAATGAAAAATTAGTATTACCTTGTGGACACTGCAACGTCACTGCGCCACCTAGTTGCACCTCCAGTTGACCTTTGTTGGGGTTATGTGATGCCGCTGCAACGGAGACGTCTTGATCGTCTGGCTCGGATGTGACGTCAACGGAATCATCTGGAAAGACAAGTAATAGGTAGAGGATTTTTAGTAGTACCTATCTTTTTAAGCAGTTTTTTTTATGAAATCAACCAATTAAAACTGCGAGGTCATAATTGTTGAATTTACCAACTTTTTTGGAATTGTACTCAATTTCATTCACTATTCATCCCATTTCATTTAATTCAGTTCACTTCATTTTATTCATCCCATTAAACTTCACTGCGTTTCAATTCAATTCATTTCCTTTCATTTAATTTAATTTAATTTAATATTATTTTATTTTGTTTTTGTTTTATTTTATTTTATTTTATTTTATTTTATTTTATTTTATTTTATTTTATTTTATTTTATTTTATTTTATTTTATTTTATTTTATTT